AAGGGGGGAACCTAGTAAACATAATGTTCCTCATGTAATTGTAGTTTAATGATACCCAAATAAAAAAAAACAAGCAGGGGGACCAGGTGAGCCAGCAGCCCTGCTTTTGGTACACTCCCAAAAGGTGGGAGCAGCCCAGGAGAGTGGATAAACCCCGTGCAGTCTGTCCACACACGGCAATGTTGCTCAGCCCTGTGGAAGGGAGTCCCAGCACCTGCTACGTCGGGCATGGGCCTTAGGAGATGCAAGCCAAACACAAAAGGACAAATCCTGCAGGATTCCACTTACGTGGGTCCCTGCAGGAGCCGAGTTCACAGAGACGGAGAGGATGGAGATTACCAGAGGCTGGCGGGAAGGCAGGGGAGTGTTTAACGGGGACGGAGTTTCAGTTTGGGAAGATGAGAAAGTTCTGGGGACCGACGGTGGGGCGGCCGCACAACAGTGTGAATGCGCCTAACGGTACTAAACTGGACACTTAGAACGGTTGGAATGGTATGTCTTATGTTGTGTATATTTTACAATTAATAAACATCTTTAAATTTAAATTTACACTGGGGAGCGCTGCTTTGCAAGGGTCCAGCCTGTGCTGCTCAGAGACCCACCTTCCTCCTCCTCCCTGGCTCGGCACCAGGCCCTCACACAGCCCCTGAGCATCCCTCTCCCTCCTCATGTCATTCCCAGTACCAGAGTGTCTGGAGGGCGGGGAAGACAAGAGCATATCAGCATTTACTGACTCTACCATGGGGCGAACCATGCTAAGAGCCTATGGCGCTTGCTAGTGAACCTTTGACATAGCCCAGAGAGGGGAGGTCACCCATCTGAGGTCACACAGCATCTAAGCAGAGGAACTGCCTCTGGCCCAGGCAGAATGCTGAAGCCGTGTCTCTCACTGCCAGGCTCCCCTGACCATCTCCCCACTGCCCAGGAGCACCCAGGAAATAGGCATAGAAACCAACAGCACCTATGGGTCCAAGTCCTGCCTGTTTCTGGGCTGTGGCCAGGCCAAGCCGTCTCCACTACAGCCTGTGCTTTCTGAAATGCATGGTGGGCCTGCTGAGGAGGACCAGCCTGTCCTTCTATCCTGATGCCCGGCCGCACTTTTCTGTCTGGACAGACTCCGCCCCTGGCCCCAGGATGTCCTCCTTCCCTGAATGGCCCCCAGCTGCCCAGCTGCATGAGTCCAGGGGCCTCACACACCATCGTCAGAGCCCACAGATACTCTGAAAACCGCTCCCAAGGGGGGCAATACTCACCTTGTCCAGTTTCCCCGTGGATGGGGAAAGGCAGTCTGGGCAGCTGAAAGGGGCCCTCCTTGCCCAGGTCAGGAGACGCTGGTGCATGGCCACCTCTGCCTCTCTTCTCTGGGACCCTGAGAGTCTCACATCTTTGTACTCTTACCTCTGTGGCACTGACAGCCCACCTGTGGAAACGGTCACCCCCAAGGGTCTTTGGGGGAAGTCTCTGCAGGTGGGCAGCCATCTGCCCTGCGTGAGACACTGAGCCCCCCTTCTGTGCACCCACCATGCCCGGACCCCAGTCCATGTCCTGGGCCTGTGGCACATGACCTGTGAGCACATGGCAGGGAGGCGGGGGAAGCGTACCTGACCCCGTGGATGCTTCGCGCTCCCTATAAAAATGCTAAGACAGCAAATCGGGTTTACAGAGCAGGTTGTCCCTTCTCTGCAGCCGGCCCCAGGGCACTTGACTTAGTCACTCTGGAACAATGTCAGAAGATAGCCAGGGATGCACAAATCCCTCCCTTCCATGATCGGTGGCCTCGCCAGGGCCTGCAGGGACTGGAGAGCACGGGGCAGAGCCTGGCGGCCAGCACTGCAAAGCTGCCTGCTCTGTGCCGGCTCCCCTGCCCCCTTCACTTCTGTCCCCTCCCCTACCAGAAGCAGAGCTCTCCTGAGGCCTCCCCGTGCCTGGATGGAGGAGCAGAATGGCCCGCTACTCGGAGCCCCCACTGCAAAAGAAATCCCAGGGACAGGGTCTGTCAGCTGCAAGGTGGTGGCTTCACCCCAGCCCTCCATGGGCGTCTGCAAGTGCAGATGAGGGAATAGACTAAGGGCAGCCTTTCAGGGGCCAGCGATTCCCAGCAGGGATCTTGTGAACTGCTACCCTTGCCACAAGGGGGTGCTGGCGACCCAGACTGCACTGCCAGGCCCCACACTCCCCTGGGAGTTGTGGCACTGACTGTACCGGGCAGGGGGAGAAGCTGCACTCCGTGGGGGACGCCCTCCGGGGACCGCTCCCTACCCCCGGCCCCCCTGCGGCAGCTCCTGGCTTCCCGGGACCGCTGGAAAGGAGGCCAGCACAGCCGGAGAAGCATTTTCTATGAATGGTCCAAGCTCCGTCCAGCTTCAGGCTGCAGCCCGGCCGGCAGCCAATGGGAGGGGGGCTGCTGCTCTCGCCCTGGGAAGGCCTCCCTCTCCCCAGATCCGCTCACCCCCCACAACATGAAGCCTGTCCCCCCTTTGCATCCTCTGCCCTCCTTTTAAAGGAAATACTGTGGATTTAAACCACAAATTAAATTTTTAATGAAACTGCATCACAGTAGGGCCCAGTGCAATGCAATACTGATGAGATCGCAGTGTCCGGCCGGCAGGAGTTCACCCCAGAAAGCTTTTTAGCATATTACGCAATATGGAGTCAAATTAATTATTTGCAACAAAGGAATCTGTGTGTCTGTAGTGCTGCTGGGCCCGGCGAGTGTAAAACGGACGCTTTTCATCACAGCCAGCTACAAGCAGCGGCCGCAGGAGCGGCGCCCTCACAGACCCAGGTGCTAGGAGCGCGGGGCAGCGATGAAAGGACGGAGAGAGGGGAGGGGGGTGCAGGGCACAGAGGGGGGCCGGGGCTCCGGGGCCCACGAGCCGGCGCTGCGGCGAAACGCAGCGGATTTCTTGGAAGCAGGCTCGGAGCTCCCACAGCCGGCTCTCCGGGGCACCCCCTCGCGAAAGGGCGCAGCAAGCCGGGCCGGCTGCCTCCGGCCGGGGCCCCAGACGACCCCCCCACCTGGGGATGGCAGCCGCCCACGAGGCGGGTCCGCAGGAGGGGTGTGCGGTGCCTCTCCGTGTGCTTTCCGGGTTGGCGGAAAAATACCTCCTCCTCAGATGAAGACCTAGGACCAGAGGTCAGGCGTCTTGTCTCAGATTTGAAGACTGGAGAGGGTGCACCTGGCCCCCTCGCCCCACCTCCCACCCCCACCTGGCCACTAGGGCATGTCCACATCGGGGCTGCTTTCCCAGTGCGCGGGTGGGTGCCCCGCTCCCCTGCCTCCACTTGAGCTCCGCGTGGAGGCTACAGGACAGGCACAGGCCACCGGGCTGGGCAGGGCCACACAGCACGCGTGTCGGGCACGTCACCAGACCCACCTACAGAAGAAGGAAACGGGAAAAGAGGCCAGCGAGACGTCAGAGGCCTTTGGGGGAAACGGGGCTGCCGCGTCTGCGAGGAAGCCCCACAGCAGCTGTCAAGGCCAAGGGCTAAATACGGTCACCCTTGTAGTTCACACAGAATGGACGCGTGATTGGGGGTGTTCTCCCGCCTGCACCCTTGCTCCCAGCCATCGTCATACTGCTCACAGAGGCTCCTAACTGGCGTCCTGCCCCCTCCGGCACCAGCACCGGGTCCATTCGCCACCAAGGGGCAGGCAGAATCTTTCTAAACTAGTCTCCTGCTCCAAACCCTTCTGGGACTCCCAGGACCGTAATGTAGACTAAACCCTTTAATGTGACCTACAAAGAAGGCTCTGCTGACCTCCATGCCCACCCCTCTGCTCACCCCAAACACCTTGCTGCCCCAGGGCCCTGGCACACGCTGCCTTTCCTCACCTAGAATACGTCTGCCTGGATGACTCCCACTCCTGCTTTAGAGCTCAGCTTCCACGTCGCTTCCTTGGGAAGATCCTCTGTGATCCCCAGCCTAGGCCGGGTCCTGCTGTACGCTCCCCAGGCATCCCTGACTTAGCTGCACCACCCCAGAAGCAGAAGCGAGGCTGAAAGCGGTTTGTGTGTGAAGTGATCCGGGAGGGAAGGGAATGCTAGGGGGGTGATGGATCTGGCCACTGCTCCCGGGACCTCCTGAGGGGGCTGGTGAACCCTCCCAGGGCCACCCGCTTGGAGGTCAGGAAAGGTTCTTGTCCACTGAGCCTTTATGCCACTCGTCAATGGTGGACTCACATTGCCCACCCCAAAGCACATCTGGGGTGTGCACATGTGGCTGTGCAGAGAGAGGGCTGCTGGTGGAGCCTGAGAAGCCCTGGGGCCATAAGGACCGGGGACTGCCTGCCTGCCCCTGTGGGGAGCTGACCACAGCTAGTACCCACCTGACCTCGGAGGGGCCTGCAGTAAGACGAGAGGGGTACGCCCATGCTGTGGGCATCCTTGTCAGGGGCGATTTCCCTTGTGCGAGTCTCCGCCCCTGGCCCCAGGATGTCCTCCTTCCCTGAATGGCCCCCAGCTGCCCAGCTGCATGAGTCCAGGGGCCTCACACACCATCGTCAGAGCCCACAGATACTCTGAAAACCGCTCCCAAGGGGGGCAATACTCACCTTGTCCAGTTTCCCCGTGGATGGGGAAAGGCAGTCTGGGCAGCTGAAAGGGGCCCTCCTTGCCCAGGTCAGGAGACGCTGGTGCATGGCCACCTCTGCCTCTCTTCTCTGGGACCCTGAGAGTCTCACATCTTTGTACTCTTACCTCTGTGGCACTGACAGCCCACCTGTGGAAACGGTCACCCCCAAGGGTCTTTGGGGGAAGTCTCTGCAGGTGGGCAGCCATCTGCCCTGCGTGAGACACTGAGCCCCCCTTCTGTGCACCCACCATGCCCGGACCCCAGTCCATGTCCTGGGCCTGTGGCACATGACCTGTGAGCACATGGCAGGGAGGCGGGGGAAGCGTACCTGACCCCGTGGATGCTTCGCGCTCCCTATAAATGCTAAGACAGCAAATCGGGTTTACAGAGCAGGTTGTCCCTTCTCTGCAGCCGGCCCCAGGGCACTTGACTTAGTCACTCTGGAACAATGTCAGAAGATAGCCAGGGATGCACAAATCCCTCCCTTCCATGATCGGTGGCCTCGCCAGGGCCTGCAGGGACTGGAGAGCACGGGGCAGAGCCTGGCGGCCAGCACTGCAAAGCTGCCTGCTCTGTGCCGGCTCCCCTGCCCCCTTCACTTCTGTCCCCTCCCCTACCAGAAGCAGAGCTCTCCTGAGGCCTCCCCGTGCCTGGATGGAGGAGCAGAATGGCCCGCTACTCGGAGCCCCCACTGCAAAAGAAATCCCAGGGACAGGGTCTGTCAGCTGCAAGGTGGTGGCTTCACCCCAGCCCTCCATGGGCGTCTGCAAGTGCAGATGAGGGAATAGACTAAGGGCAGCCTTTCAGGGGCCAGCGATTCCCAGCAGGGATCTTGTGAACTGCTACCCTTGCCACAAGGGGGTGCTGGCGACCCAGACTGCACTGCCAGGCCCCACACTCCCCTGGGAGTTGTGGCACTGACTGTACCGGGCAGGGGGAGAAGCTGCACTCCGTGGGGGACGCCCTCCGGGGACCGCTCCCTACCCCCGGCCCCCCTGCGGCAGCTCCTGGCTTCCCGGGACCGCTGGAAAGGAGGCCAGCACAGCCGGAGAAGCATTTTCTATGAATGGTCCAAGCTCCGTCCAGCTTCAGGCTGCAGCCCGGCCGGCAGCCAATGGGAGGGGGGCTGCTGCTCTCGCCCTGGGAAGGCCTCCCTCTCCCCAGATCCGCTCACCACCCCCCACAACATGAAGCCTGTCCCCCCTTTGCATCCTCTGCCCTCCTTTTAAAGGAAATACTGTGGATTTAAACCACAAATTAAATTTTTAATGAAACTGCATCACAGTAGGGCCCAGTGCAATGCAATACTGATGAGATCGCAGTGTCCGGCCGGCAGGAGTTCACCCCAGAAAGCTTTTTAGCATATTACGCAATATGGAGTCAAATTAATTATTTGCAACAAAGGGATCTGTGTGTCTGTAGTGCTGCTGGGCCCGGCGAGTGTAAAACGGACGCTTTTCATCACAGCCAGCTACAAGCAGCGGCCGCAGGAGCGGCGCCCTCACAGACCCAGGTGCTAGGAGCGCGGGGCAGCGATGAAAGGACGGAGAGAGGGGAGGGGGGTGCAGGGCACAGAGGGGGGCCGGGGCTCCGGGGCCCACGAGCCGGCGCTGCGGCGAAACGCAGCGGATTTCTTGGAAGCAGGCTCGGAGCTCCCACAGCCGGCTCTCCGGGGCACCCCCTCGCGAAAGGGCGCAGCAAGCCGGGCCGGCTGCCTCCGGCCGGGGCCCCAGACGACCCCCCCACCTGGGGATGGCAGCCGCCCACGAGGCGGGTCCGCAGGAGGGGTGTGCGGTGCCTCTCCGTGTGCTTTCCGGGTTGGCGGAAAAATACCTCCTCCTCAGATGAAGACCTAGGACCAGAGGTCAGCCGTCTTGTCTCAGATTTGAAGACTGGAGAGGGTGCACCTGGCCCCCTCGCCCCACCTCCCACCCCCACCTGGCCACTAGGGCATGTCCACATCGGGGCTGCTTTCCCAGTGCGCGGGTGGGTGCCCCGCTCCCCTGCCTCCACTTGAGCTCCGCGTGGAGGCTACAGGACAGGCACAGGCCACCGGGCTGGGCAGGGCCACACAGCACGCGTGTCGGGCACGTCACCAGACCCACCTACAGAAGAAGGAAACGGGAAAAGAGGCCAGCGAGACGTCAGAGGCCTTTGGGGGAAACGGGGCTGCCGCGTCTGCGAGGAAGCCCCACAGCAGCTGTCAAGGCCAAGGGCTAAATACGGTCACCCTTGTAGTTCACGCAGAATGGACGCGTGATTGGGGGTGTTCTCCCGCCTGCACCCTTGCTCCCAGCCATCGTCATACTGCTCACAGAGGCTCCTAACTGGCCTCCTGCCCCCTCCGGCACCAGCACCGGGTCCATTCGCCACCAAGGGGCAGGCAGAATCTTTCTAAACTAGTCTCCTGCTCCAAACCCTTCTGGGGCTCCCCAGGACCGTAATGTAGACTAAACCCTTTAATGTGACCTACAAAGAAGGCTCTGCTGACCTCCGTGCCCACCCCTCTGCTCACCCCAAACACCTTGCTGCCCCAGGGCCCTGGCACACGCTGCCTTTCCTCCCCTAGAATACGTCTGCCTGGATGACTCCCACTCCTGCTTTAGAGCTCAGCTTCCACGTCGCTTCCTTGGGAAGATACTCTGTGACCCCCAGCCTAGGCCGGGTCCTGCTGTACGCTCCCCAGGCATCCCTGACTTAGCTGCACCACCCCAGAAGCAGAAGCGAGGCTGAAAGCGGTTTGTGTGTGAAGTGATCCGGGAGGGAAGGGAATGCTAGGGGGGTGATGGATCTGGCCACTGCTCCCGGGACCTCCTGAGGGGGCTGGTGAACCCTCCCAGGGCCACCCGCTTGGAGGTCAGGAAAGGTTCTTGTCCACTGAGCCTTTATGCCACTCGTCAATGGTGGACTCACATTGCCCACCCCAAAGCACATCTGGGGTGTGCACATGTGGCTGTGCAGAGAGAGGGCTGCTGGTGGGGCCTGAGAAGCCCTGGGGCCATAAGGACCAGGGACTGCCTGCCTGCCCCTGTGGGGAGCTGACCACAGCTAGTACCCACCTGACCTCGGAGGGGCCTGCAGTAAGACGAGAGGGGTACGCCCATGCTGTGGGCATCCTTGTCAGGGGCGATTTCCCTTGTGCGAGGGTGCACCCGGGTCCTCTGCACGCTGCCCGTGTGCCCAGCACCACCTGGCCCTTGGGCGGCACTCAGCACAGAGCTGGACAGAGACACAGACACAGGGAGGCTTCCCTGTCCCACTGCTGAGTCTAGGGAAGGGGCCAGAGAGGGTCCCGGAGGACAGTGTGCACCTCACACAGCTGCGGGGGGTCAGCCGGGCCAGGAGCGCCTCTTGGCGAAGCCTGAGCTCCCACTGGCTGGCAGCTGGCAGCCGAGAGGCGGCAGGACAGGAGGCCAAGGCGGCTCTGAGGGCTTGCTCCTGCGTTCCCGCCGCAGCCTGCCTCCAGGGGCACTGGGCTGACCCCGAGCTGAGCAGAGAATGCAACCGGAAATGAAAATCTTCCCAGAAAGGGGGCTTTGCGACCCCAAGACATCCCAATGGGGGCTTCATTCCTTGGTTCTTTTGTTCTCTTTCAGTTGCGTGAACAGGAAGATTTCTCCTCTCCTCATTCACACACACACACACACACACACACACACACACACAATTCAGGAGGGCCCCTCCCCAGGAGCTGCCCCTTTGTCCCCAGGAGGGGCCGCACACCCCAAAGCTTCAGACTCAACATCATGCAAAAAAGAGGCAGAACCCATGGAACACACAGCCCCAGCCAGGGGACAGCCCCCTGCTCCCCGTGTGCCTCGATGGCTCCCCTCCTGCCCAGGGCTGTCCCTGGGTGGCTGGGCCCTGCCCACAGCCCAGCAAGGTCACAGGAACAGCCATCGCCACCTCTGAGGGCACGCTCGTTGCATGCAGGCCTCTGCCCACAACCCAGCACCATCGATGTTGCCCCGATCTCACCCAGGGTCTCACCCAGGGCAATGGTGAGGCTGGAAACGGGTGGAGCTGGGATGCTGAGCGACCCTCCCTCCCAGCGTGCCTCACCCCGCACCAAAGGGGCCCACCGCATCCGTGACGTCGCTATCCTTGCTGGGGCCCTCTGTGAGCCACCGTGAAACCCTGCCTTGGAAAACCGCAGGTCATTCAAAGTCCACGCTTCTGGCCCAGCCGGACACCCTCTTAGAGGGATCTTAATATAACTGCTGGAGTAGATGCCAGATGCCAGTTATCTTAAGGAAAGTGCATGAGATTGAAACTTAAAACCAAGAACGTTCTGAACATCAACCTAAAATAAAATCAGCGGGAAACCTCTGTGTGTCCACTGTGTGAGAGAGTCCCCAGCAGCATGAAGGACGTCCTGGAAGACTGTCCGTGGAATGAATGAACAGAGATGGAGGCCAGGCCCTGCGTTACTGCAATCTGCTGTGCTGCTCAGGCCGAGCCCTGGAAGGGAGTGAGTCTTGATGGCCTGTCTGTAAATTATGACATAAACACAGAAGAACCCGCTGTGCTGGCTTCACAGGCCCCTCATGTGATCAGATGCAGTAAGATGTGGGAAAGCATCCCACCAGGCACTGGGCTAATTTGGGGTCAAAGGGCCAATTTGAGTTGTGTCCTCTGGTCCACTGGAGGCCCTGAGGCACCTTCCCACCCCTGGGAGCCTGTAACCTCCATCCACTAAGTCTTGGGGTGGCCAGGTCCCACCCCTGCTGGCAGGAACCTGAGCCTTTCCCCCAGGCCTGAGCGATGGCCTCTTAGCCTCATGACAGCTGTGACCCCCCCACCGCCGGTACACGCCATTTGTATTCTTGACACCAGTATGCCTCACCTTGTTTCGTGTTTCCTAATGCCCTCTCCTGATGTCTGGCAGATGGTGAAATTGATGAGTGAGGACACAGCAGGCTGGTGGCCTGGCACCCACCGTACCAGCCCGACGCCACTAGCTTAGGCGAGCAAACCAAATTAACGCAAGCTGGGGTTCCCCGGGTTGGGGCTCCTGGGCCGTTCCAGACCCAGCCTTAGAATTTACTAGCTCCAAAGTTGGGAGGGCAGGGAAGACAGTGATGGAAAGTGTTCTGATGTCCGCAGTGCCCCACAAATGGCGGAGAGTACCAGCACCTCTCCTTGGTGTTGTTAAGTGCGGAGATCAGAAATCCTAACAGGACAGTCCCTGTTGGGGTCAGGGCACTGTCCTCCATCCCTGGGTGGTCTCACCACACACTGGCTGTACCCCCACCACCCCGAAGATGCACACCCAGGGCTCGCTCGTCAGCTTGACTCTGTCCCGACCCTCAGCCCCTCCATCTCAGCTCGGGACCTGCCTCCTCCCTGGGCACTGGTGGGAGCCCACTGAGCGCCTGGCCAGGGCCAGGTGCTTGGGCATCACTGCTGCAACCTCCTCCCGGCTGCTGGGTAACCGCTTCAAGGGAGACGTGTCCCATGTGGACTCACCGTCTGTCTCTCCCTCCAGACCTTCCCCTCCTCCACCGCGGCACCACCAGCCCCTCGCCCCCCTCGGGGCCAGTCGGGAATCAACCGAGCCCCCTCCTCTGCTTCACTCCCCAAACCCAAGTCATCAGCGTCCTGACGAATGAGCCTCCGGCAGTGTTCTCAGCTCCACCCTTCTCCCCAAACCTGCCTCGCCTCAAGGCTGCCTTCCAAGAAGCGCTCCAGGGGGGGCCTCCTACCCCCAGGACCACAGCCTTCTGGCCGACAGGAAGAAATCTTGGCTCCTGGCCCCAGGCCTGTCCCACCACCCCACCCACACCCCTCCCATGTCCCGCTTTGCCCTCTGCTCCTCCAAGGTGAAGGACATGCCCTTGGGCCATGCCTCCCCCCACCATCAGCCCCCTCTCCCCACCCACTCTCAGGACCCCTCTCTGGTACCACCTCCCCAGGAGATGTCCTGCCCACTCACCTGCCACGCTGAAGGTGTACATACACCCTTCTGCCCTGCAGCACAAGCGCTCTCCAGGCCGGAGGTGGTGGTTTCTTCTGCCCTGGTCCCATCTCCCCTCAGTAGATGCTCTGGGAATATTTGTGGGCAGAGAGCAAACTTTATGAACATTTACACTACGTTAAATGCCCGTGATGCTCCCTGGCACCAGAAACCTCTGCTTGGAGGAAAGGGAGACGAGCCTTCCTCAGAAGGATTCGTGGTGGTGCCCCTGAACGCCTGTGGGTCGGGGTTGGAATGTCCTCAGTTCAAGTCTCCTCACCCCCAAGGCCAGCGCCGGGCTCAGTCCAGAGGAGGGCAGGCTGGAGACGGACACCACCTGGGGCTCCGTCCACGGTAAGACCGGGCCAGTCGCTGCCCTGGGAAGGGCTCCGAGGAAGGAGGCCCTCGCTGTGGGGAAGCCCCAGTTGGGATCAGGGAGTCCGGAGGCCCAGGGCAGCCCAGCTGAGCTGTGTTGGTGGGAACTGCTGCCTTCTCCTCCTCCCAGACAGAGCCCCTTGGGTGGTCCCACGCCCCCCTCCCCAATCTCCTCCCTGCAGGGGCAGCTGTTTCAAATGACAGGGCAGACCCTCATGCTCAATGGGCTCAGAGATAAGCAGTGAGCCACTTTTAGCAGAGATCGCACCCAGCACCCCACACCCTGAAGGGATCTCTGCCTGAGATTCTAGACCAGCCTGTGGTCTTGTCCTGAGAAGAGGACAGCCCAGGAGATGCCACAGGGTGAGAGCAGGTCCAGGGGCAGCTTCAGCACCTCCCTGGGTGGGTTCCCACCATCCACTACGTAAAGACCCTCAGTGGGCACTGGCATCTTCAGGATACCTCCTGACTTACCTATAAATAGCTGTGCCTTCATATGCCTGCCTGCCTTTACCATGCTGGCCACAGCCAGGGAGCCCCGGGCCACACTTCCCCACTAGCCCCCTCGGCCTGCCCTGCACCCCCAGTCTAACCTCTGAAGGCCTCCCCATCCTCTTCGGCCAGGCCTGTGCTGAGCAGGCTGACAACAGCCGATTGCTACATTTCAGGAATTTGCAAGCTGACTGTTAAACACAGCCATCATTAAAATTTAAATCATATGAATTTACAGTTAAATTATATTAAGATCAAAGGTACTACATACTCAGAATTCATTGCTTTCTAATTACTCTTACTACATTTTACTATTATCTATTCTTTTGAGGTTATTCACATCTTGCGTGGCTCTGCTGGGAATACCATGTAATAGTATGGCACTGAGCGTCTCTTTCCAACTCCAGGGGGGGTGTTTACAGGACCTCCTCCCCACCCCACAGTGGGAGAGAACCGGGTGCCCACACATGAGGGTGCCCCTGCATCCCCCAGCCTTCCGGCCAGGACGCTAGGCAGCTGGGGCTCCCCCTCGAAGGGTTTTGGGCAGAGTGACCTTTCATTGGCCTACCTAGCCCTCCCGCCCAGATACCAGCCCACGCCTGAGAGGGAGAGGAAGCCGCAGACATCACCAGGATTGAGTCCCTGCCTGCCCGGTCTTGAGTGCAGTCACAAGGCTTTAAAGACGGGGGCCCTGCACTGCGGCCCTCGGACAGGCAGTGCCCCGCGTACCTGCTCAGGGGCCCTGCAAAGGCTTTCTGGCCAACGGTGTGCTCCACAGAGGTCCCAAGGGTCGTGCTGGGACCCAAGGGTCTCGGCCCTGACAGCCGTCTCCCCCTCTCAGGACCCCACATTCCCGAGTCCCCTGGACACTGCCCCAGGACCCTTCCCCCACGCGGGCTTCTCAGCCTCTGGGGGGGTGGCCCCCGTGCCCCAGGGCAGAGGTCTCCTCCCTTGGCGGTAAAAGCTCCGTCCAGGTCTTGGGCGCGGGCAAACCCCTGCCACACCAGGGGCTCAGGACGCATGGCCTGGGCCTCGGTGGGCTCCCCTCCCGCGCCCACGCGCCCTTCGGGATGGCCTCGCCTTCAGGCCCCTCAGGGAAGGCCTTGGACTGACGCAGCCCTGGGCGTGGAGGGACCCCCAGTCAAGTTCTGGCCTGGGGCGCCCGGTCGAGAGCCGCCGCGGGGCTCAGCGCTGGGTGGTGGGCAAACGGGAACGCTGGGGCCAGGACCCCGCGCACCCCACGGGGCGCGGCGCGCGGAGCCCGGACAGCCACGTGCGGCCCGCGGGGTCCCTCTGGCGCCGGGAAGCGGAGGCCGAAGGACGCGCCAGACGTGCAGGGCCGCCCGGGCTCGCCGCCTGGGGCTGGAGAGGGCTCCCGGCTGAGGCGGCGGGGCGCCCCGGGGGCGGGGGTGAGAGGGGGCCGTCGGGGTTTGACGTAAGGCTCTCGGTTAAGCCGCTGCTTCTGCCTCTGCGGGGGGGCCGCTCACCGCAACCTGAAGCCGCCGTGGGTGCCCGCGGGCGCCCCGTCAGAGGCTGCGGGGTGGAGGGCTCACTGGGTGCTTGGAACGCGCCACCCGAAAGGCCTTTGGCTCTGACCCCCCGGGCGGGCCTGCAGCCCGGGTCCTGGTGGGGAGCCCCGAACGGGGCGTCGTAACCCAGACGGGAGTCCGGCAGCCGAGACCCCCTGTGCCGCGGCCCGAAAACGGGTTCCAGTGTATGGATGGCGGTGACTGAAGTGCCCCCCCTGTGGAGCGCCGCAGGGGCGATGCCCACAGCCGGCCCCCTTCACCCCCAGCAAATCCGGAATGCCTCCCCACCAGCCACCCGCCGAGAGGGGACGAGCTGGGGCGAGTGGGGTCCGGAAAACCCGACACGCACACGCGGACACACACCCAGACACGCTCACTGACGGGCACACGTGCCCGCGCTCGGGAGCGCGGAGGGTCGGCCCGCTGGCGCGCTCGTCGGCGCGGCGGGCCCGGCGCCTCCCCGGGACCTGCGGGGAACATCCAGCCCCGGCGGCGCCGTCTGCCGAGGACCTGGCCGGCTCCGCTGGCAGGAAACGCTCGATCTGATGGGGGCGCCTCCGAGAAGTGCCGCCCGCCCCGCAGGCGCGGGGTGAGGGCTGTCATTCCCCCGGGGCTCTGCGGGTCCCCAGAGCCCGGAGCTTGGGGAGGAGGGGGGCGCAGGGGAGCCGGGAACGGGGTCTTGGGGACGTCCCAGACCCAGGGTGCAAGCGCTTTTCAACCCACAAGGACACCGAAGAATGGTGGGGCGGCCCCGCGATCCCCGATCTGGACTTCGGGGCGCCGCGCGGCTCCGCTCCGGGCGCTCCTCACCCGGCACACGGTGTAGACGATCTGAGTCCCTGGGGACGCGGTCGGCCTTGGACGTCACCCGCGCGGGCCCCGCGGGTGTTCTGTGCAGCTGAGCGAGGTGAACCGAGCTCTGCCTCCCGAGCCCGCCGCAGCCTCCCACCGGCCCAGAGCCCCGTCGGAGATTCGGGGACAGCGCGCAGGTGGCCCATCCTCTACCCAGTCCCGCCCCCTTCCCTCCCCCCGGCGGCTCTGGGAGACTTTGGGGAAGCGGCTGGCGGCGCGGGGGCGGCCCGCGGGGGCGGGGAGGAGACCTGGAGGCCGCCCGCCGCGCGCGTGCGACCTCCGCCGCTCAGCGGGCCGGCCGCAGGCAATTAAAGCGGGATTCCTCCCCCGCTGACGTCGGCGGCGCCGAGGCCCCTCCCGCGGCGGCATAAAAGGCGCGGGCTCCGCAGCGCCGGCGACAGCGAGGGCCGGACAGCGTGGCGGTGCGGACTGCGCGGCCGAGCAGCGCGGCGCCCAGAGCGCGGGCCGCCCGCGGAGCCCCAGCCGAGCCGAGCAGCGCCGAGCCTAGCGGGCCCGCAGTGCCCGGACTCCCGCCCGCAGCGATGCCGGCCGGCCGCGCCGCGCGCACCTGTGCGCTGCTCGCCCTCTGCCTGCTGGGCGGCGGGGCCCAGGATTTCGGGCCGACGCGCTTCATCTGCACCTCGGTGCCCGTGGACGCCGACATGTGCGCCGCGTCCGTGGCCGCCGGCGGCGCCGAGGAGCTCCGGAGCGACGTGCTGCAGCTCCGCGAGACCGTGCTGCAGCAGAAGGAGACCATCCTGAGCCAGAAGGACACCATCCGCGAGCTGACCAACAAGCTGGGCCGCTGCGAGAGCCAGAGCACGCTGGACGCGGGCGCCGGCGAGGCCCGGACGGCCGGCGGCCGCAAGCCGCCCGGCGCGGGCAAGAACACCATGGGCGACCTGTCCCGGACACCGGCCGCCGAGACGCTCAGCCAACTCGGGCAAACTTTGCAGTCGCTCAAAACCCGCCTGGAGAACCTCGAGGTCCGCGAGCGCCGCGGTTCCCCTTCCGGCTCGCGTGCCCCCTGCCCTGCCCCACCCCCACCCCCGACCCGGCCGGACACCGTCCACCCCGCCTCGGCCGGGCGCCGACTAACGCCCGCCCGGGTCTTCCCAGCCCGCGGGGCCCCGCGGACGGCCGCTCGCCCGAGCCCTCCGCCAGGCCGCCCCCGCAGCCGCCCTGAGGGGACCGCGCCACCGGCACGGTCCCTGCGCCGCGCGTAACGATGTGGCTTCCCCCCGCCCTTGCACCCGCAGCAGTACAGCCGCCTCAATTCCTCCGGCCAGACCAACAGCCTCAAGGATCTGCTGCAGAGCAAGATCGACGACCTGGAGAGGCAGGTGCTGTCTCGGGTGAACACGCTGGAGGAAGGCAAGGGGGGCCCCAAGAACGACACCGAGGACAGGGCGAAGATCGAGAGCGCCCTGACCTCCCTGCACCAGCGGATCAGCGAGCTGGAGAAAGGTAAGGGGTGGGGGTGGTCGCGCTGCCTGCCCCAGCCCCCTGGGCCAGGAGTCCCTGTCTCTGGTCCTGACTCCCTGCACAGCACCCCCATCCCTCCGGCCCCTTCCCGATTCCCCATCCCCATCCCAGGTTCTGGGTGTCCAGCTGGCATTCCTGGCCCGGCTGCGGTACCCTGGTTTGGGGACATCCCCATGGAAGGGGCTGCCTGGCGTCCTCCCCATTCAGTCCCCTCAGGCACATACCCCCGTAAGATTTTTCTGAGTCTGATTTGTTTAATCTTCAGTAACTTTGTGCTGTAGCTGTGGCAGCCCAGCCGTCCCCGGCTGAGAAAGCCTGGCTCCAGTCCGTCCCTGTCCCCAGCAGAAAGCAGGCTCAGGCTGGGCCGAGTCCTCCTGGTCCCAGCAGATTAGGGTCCTGGGCAGGCTTCCTCTCAGCTCCCAGGCACCCCTGGCGTCCTCTAGGGATCTCGGGGCACCCCCACCCCAGTCCCTTCCTCGCAGTTTTCTCTTGGGAGTGACCCAAGTCCGGGCATCTTGCACTCCCGGAGGTCCCTGGGTCACCTACTCAGGCAGCCCCCCATTGCAGCCCAGGGAGCTCCGCAGCTCAGCCCCGAAGTCTCAGAAATCAAACAAGGTTGTAAACGGGTGGGGGGGCCTGGCTCAGAGGAGGACCACGTGACCCTTCTCAGACCGCAAACTGTGCCTGATGGATCTAAACAGTGCCATCTTAAGGCACGTTATGTAACTGAAAAAACAAATCGGGAAGAAGGATGGGGGAGCGTGGGGGGATGGGAGAGGGGAGGTTGGGGGAAATGAAAAACACCTCCTAGAGAGGCGAGAGGTTGGGTCTGTCCAAGGCAGGGGGGGCGTTGTGATCCTGAGTGGGTGTGGGGAGCACCGCCTGGGGCCAGCCCTGCTCCGTTCCCTGACACCTGGCTTAGGGGCGGGAGGGGGGAGGTGCTGGCCCAGGGGGATGCCCTCTAGAAATCATTCTTGGCCTGGGGGGCTGGCTTAGGTTCTGGGCCCCCTGGCAAGCCCCAGAGCACACCCAGGAGCTGGCAGTGGAGTGGAGCTGGCTCTAGGCCTGGTGCCCATGCCCACTGTTAGGTTGGAATGTTTTGCTTGGAGTCAGGCACACGGTGGCCAGTGCCACAGCCGCGGTGTACGTGTGGGTGGAGAGGGGGCAGACAAGCCCTCCCTGGAGACATCACTAGCAGGCAGGCTGCTGTGGCCGTGTGCAAGGCAGGCTATTGAAAAAGGAGCCTGATTTTTCAGGAAACATAGGAAGCTCACCCAGGAGTGAGTGCATAGCATCAGGGCAGTCACCCTGGGGGGCCCCTGACCCCGGGGCTGCCTCCCAGCCCCCTGCTGTCCTGCCCCCTTGCAGGCTCCAGGCAGCATGGCCCCAAGAGTCCAGGAGGGCAGAGTTTCCTCCTGTGGGGTGGATGGGATTCTGGAAATAGCCTGAGTCCTCAGGGCTAGTGGGCTGGGTCAGAAGGGTGAGCAGGGACTGCAGCGGGGTCCGGCCTCAAGGGAAGTGTGATGAGAACCAGGGGCCTCGGTTGTCCTGGGCGGGGATCCGAGAAAAGGGAGTGGTTCTGAGCACCGTCAGCAGCCAGCATCCTGGAATCAGGCCGGGCCCCCAAAGGAGCTGCTCTGAGCTGGTCTCTTTCAGGGCAGGGAGGAGACCTTCTTTTTTTCTGTAGCCACAACTTTGAGGGCGGTTTACAGGATATCCACCACTCAGCCCAGGTGCCGAAGCTCAGTCCACCGTGTTTCCCACACCCCCACCCCAGCCTCCCCAGGGTTGGGCGCTGCGGGAGCCAGACTCAGAGAGCAGAGACCTTTGCTCAGCTCTTTGGCCCCGGACTGGTGCCCTGGCATATACAATGGAAACGGAGTCTGATCTGTGAGCTTGGCAGGGGCTGAGTGGGCGTCAGAAACAAGCCCTTCACCAGGTGCAGCTGTCAGGACATGTCCCGCCTTCCCCAGGTCAGAAGGACAACCGCCCTGGAGACAAGTTCCAGCTCACGTTCCCCCTGCGGACCAACTACATGTATGCCAAGGTGAAGAAGAGCCTGCCCGAGATGTATGCCTTCTCCGTGTGCATGTGGCTCAAGTCCAGCGCAGCGCCTGGGGTGGGCACGCCTTTCTCCTACGCCGTGCCGGGCCAGGCCAACGAGCTGGTCCTCATTGAGTGGGGCAACAACCCCATGGAGATCCTCATCAATGACAAGGTAGAGCCCCCATCCATCTGGGCTTGCAGGGCGGCAGGCTGAGGTCCCTAGGGCCCTGTCCGTGCCAGTCATGGGACACGCAGCTTCAGATGCTGCCGTGGCCCCAAGGGGAGTGTGTGCCGGGAGGGCGAGGGTGAAGACCAGGAGCAATGGGAGGGGCACTCTTGCCTGCACTCCATTAACAGGGTGCAGCTGGAAACTTGCCAAAGGCCCAGGAGGGTGGGGGATGGCAGAGGATGATCCAGGGGACCCGTCCATTCGCAAATCCAATCCTGGCCCTAGCTGGCTTCGGAACTGGCTTTGCTCCATGTATTTGCGGGACCGTAGACCCGTAGATGCGCTAATAATGGTGAAGTTGCCCTAGAGATTCTTCCCAAGCCTGAATCTATCCTGCCTGACCCCTGACCCCTGGGAGGAGTCCAGAGCTGAGCAGACCCCCTCGGAGACGGCAGCCTTTGCCCTCCAGAGAGCCCTTCTCCACAGTGGCCTTCCTTCAGCTGTGGAATTGAATGCCAGCTCTTAGACTCCCTCGTCTCTATGCCAGCATTGGCAGTAAATGTCCGAGACCCTGGCTGGGGATTGGATTCCAAGCCCTTGCTTCGATGGCTTGCCCAGGAAGGGTTGCTCCTTTCTGGGCCCTGTTTCCCCAAGCTAAAAGGGCGTGACACCTACCATCTTCTGTCTGCTGCCCCATCCACCCTCCTGGAATGTAAGAGTGGAATGAAGCCCCAGGCACAGGCAAGTCAAAATTCAAAGGCATGGTGCCACCTCTCCTGGTGTCTCTGAGTCTCTGCAAAGGCTGGGCGAGTTGAGCACCCAGAGAGTTCAGCAATTGGTTGAGGCCTGAAGGCCGCAGTAAACTCAGACCCCAGGGCTCCCGTCCAAAGGCTTGTTTTGTAGACTAGCAAAGAGGGAGGAGGGTGAGGAGTGAGGAGACGGTACACTGAGACGGATCTTAGGGGTTCCCTGGACAAGGCTTCACACTTCCTGTGTGATTCTGCTGGGTGGGGCCGGCGGCCAATAAAGCCTGGAGTGGCAGGTGGTGAGAGAATTCGATACCGGCTCGTAGCATTTATTTTAAATGTAGCAGTAGGAAGAATGACAGCGGAACTAATGACTGGCAGTGATCGCTGACCCTGTGCTGTGCCCCTGGGTCCATAAAATGTGTGTCATCCTCCTTCGCAGGTGGCCAAGCTGCCCTTTGTCATCAATGATGGCAAGTGGCATCATATCTGCATCACCTGGACCACCCGGGACGGGGTCTGGGAAGCCTACCAGGACGGTACCCAGGGCGGCCACGGGGAGAACCTGGCGCCCTATCATCCTATCAAGCCACAGGGAGTGCTGGTGCTGGGCCAGGAGCAGGTACTGCCGGGGACCAGGGGTGGGGACCAGGGGGCGGCCTGCTGCAGGGGAAGAAGAGGTGGGAGGGGAGGGAGGAGAGAGGAGGTGGAGAGGGAAGCGCTTTCCCCTGGGAGGCAGCCCAGGGAAGCAGCTGCACAGCTTTGGGCCAAGTCCCTGCTCTGCGTGGGCTTGTTGGGAAACGCAGGCTGCCCCGGCTCGGCGCCCCACTCTTAGTAGCTGCAGCAAGACTTTCCTGGTCGTGGGAAGGCTGGTCCTGCCTTTAGCCATGCATAATTTATTTCCTGGAAGTGGTTTGTCTCCCATTGGGCACCCAGGCGGAACCCGGTGGGAGAGCCCCAGGCTTCTGCTCCTGCTGGGTGGGCTGCTGGCAGAGAGCAGCGTCTGAGTGCTTTGACTGGATCGGGGGAGTAGGGGAGGTTCCCCTGGCCCCGCTCCCACGGCTGTCATGGCCCCAGCTGACCCCTCCCTCATTGGCGGAGGGACTGACCACAGGGAGAGGCTGCGTGCAGGTGCCCCGAGGAGCAGCCCCACATCCCGGACAGACGTGGCCTTTCCCTGGGCTCCCGGGGCGAGGGGGACCGACACTTAGCTGGAGGCCCAGAGACAGGAGACCAGATGGTGCTCAGGGCTGGATGTGCAGAGCTCCCAGCGGGGGGTGGGGATGCCCAGAAACTCACCCCGCAAGGGTGGCCCTCTCATGATGCCCTACCTCTGCAACCCCCTCCCACCTCCTCCTCTTGTTTCTGAAGGACACTCTGGGTGGTGGGTTTGATGCCACTCAAGCGTTCGTGGGCGAGCTGGCCCATTTCAACATCTGGGACCGCAAGCTGACCCCGGGGGAGGTGTACAACCTGGCCACCTGCAGCACCAAGGCCCTTTCTGGCAACGTCATCGCCTGGGCCGAGTCCCACATTGAGATCTACGGCGGAGCCACCAAGTGGACATTTGAAGCTTGTCGTCAGATCAACTGAGGGCCCTGCGGGGCTGAGCCCCCGCCCTGGCCCGGCCCGCCCGCCTCGCCCCTGCTTGTGCCCTGATGACCCGTCGTCTCGCTCCCTCTTCCCCAGGAATGACAAGGCATCACCCTTGCACACCCACCACGCACACGCACGTAGCCTGGTTCGCCCTTGTGCACATGAAGCAGGCCCGGCTCCGGCCGTCCCCGAGGAGGCCCCCCGTTTCTCAGGCAAGCCCTGTTCACCACCAGGACAGGTGGCTGCAACATGCTGGACAATGAAGTAGGTGAGAGGACGGGTGTGTTTACAGGTGTGTGTCTCGGGGCTGGGGGGGGGCGGCGGCTTTTTCTTTTAGAATGAGGTATTTCATTTCCTTCTTTCTTTGTGGCTTTGGGAAATCTCATGACTGGTCGAATATGTGCATTTGCTGACCATGTTAGCTGCCTGTGTGCCTTGGGGCTGGTGCGGCCTCTTCAGCACACGCATTTGTCTTCGTTTGCAAACCTCTTTTAGAACTAGGACGCATCCCCCCCTCTGATGAAATAAATGTCTTAGGGTTTATTCACGACTGGGGAGGGAGCCTCCCCACGGAGAATTTCTATCGTATAGTAGAAGTGATTCTCCGAGGTCTGAAAGCTGGTGGTGTTCTGGGGTGGCACCACATGCTGTCGGGTGGTGAGGGGCAGAGGAGGTGGGGCTGACCCCAGGAACTGGGCAATCCCCAGCCCACCGCCCAGTGCCCAGCCAGCAGCCCTGCAGTTGGCATCTGAGGACAGTGCTGGGCTGGGGAAGCTGGCCTGCATGCCTGGCTTGGCTGGCTCTGACCCTCATCTTCCCACCTCCTTGGACCTGCGAGGCTGGGCCCTGTCCCTCTCTTTCAGCCACCAGCCAGTGTCCCACCCACAGCCCAGGAAGCTAGGGTCCCCGGACACCTCCCCTTTTGTCCCTGGCTGTGGAAGACCAGAGGCTTCAGTGGGGACATTTCAGATAAGGAAACCCACACGGACGAAGACCCATGGACACAGGGCCATTGAGACTCAAATCTGACCAGTCAATGAGAAGGTCCTTGGTAATTTTGGCAGCCATAGTCTTTCCATGCTCCTGGGCTCAAAAAGCTGGTTCAGTGACTCCCACAAGGGGACAGGGACTCTGGAGACCTCTCACATGGCCAGGACTGAGGTCTGAAACCTATGCCATGGTCTTAGAGGGCTGAAGCCCTGCAGCAGCCCCCAGCCTGTCCCCAGCTGGTGACACTGAGACAAGACCAGGGCCCAGAACCTTTGACTTTTGTTTCCTTCATGAAAAACAACCATGCACATTTTCTTCTCCGAGGTGGGGAGACGAGTGTGTGTGTGCATGTGCGTGTTGAGTGACAGAGGAAGAGCATGTGGACAGATCACGCCCAGGGGAGGGTGAGCTCCCTACTCTGGGCCACCATCTGGGGGTCGCATGCCCCAAGGGCACCCTGGACTCTCACCAGGAGTCTAATTAGCAAAAGGCTGGAAAGTCTTTCTAGAAATTCTCCCTCACTGCCTGGCTCCTGTGCAGCTGCAGGCGTTTCTTCAAGAGGAGCAGGTGTTCTGTCTTCTGTCCCTTCCAGGGGCACCTGTCTCCTTAAACGCAGGTCCGTGTTGTGTTGGAACCTAGTGCGTCTGTGTGAGTCTGTGTTGGTGCCTCTGTGTTAGTGTCCACGTGGGTGTCTGCTCAGCAGCCCACTGCCGTTCTGCGGCGTATCGCTCTCTTTCAGAGGAAGGAGTCCAGGCGCCGTGCTGTGTGTTGTGGTCCAGCAGTGGCTTTTCTGAGACCCCTGTGCTCCTTCAGCGCCCAGCGGGTTGTGGCATCTGTGGGCCTGCAGGAGCCTTCTCTGTTTGCATGTTCCTCGGGGTGGCGTGTCCCTTGCTCCCTCAGTCTGACGTGTGCTCCCCTGCCTGCATGGACTTCTCTGGTTCTGTGTCATGTACCGAGTGACACCCATTGTTCTGTGATCATCCACGTAGCTACCAAAAAAGGTTGGGTAAGCAAGCCAAGGGTGTCGGAGGAGGTCAAGGGAGAGATCGATTTCCCTCTCCCCCTCCCTGCTCCCCAAACACACCAAGAAGTATTTTTAACGTGTAGGTTGAGAACAAGCCTGAACAATACCCGTGGTTGGGAGAGAGCAAGAGCTTGGAGTCACCCCTAGCCCAGATCGGCCCCACCCCTCACGTCAGCCATCTGGAGCTGCTGCGTAGGCAAGGCCCCCAGCGGGCTGGGTGCTCTCCCCTCAGCACCTCCCACCAGCCCTGCCGATCTACCGGACCCCAGACCACCTGCTGCCCAGAGGCCGCGGTGGGAGCTGTCCGTTCAGGACCACAAGCCATCCTCTGCCCTGACTAGAGATGGGCAGAGCACACCCCGGATGCTTACGCCTGTGCCCTTTCGGCCTCCCTGCCCGTTCACCTTCCTTGGCCCCTCCCCCGATGCGCCCATGGTGCCAGGGACAGAAGCTGACACTTAGCTCCCTCCCCGCCCCTCACTGGAGCCTGTGCCAGGCCCACCGACTCCCTCACTGTGTTAACACTTGGCACTTTGCTGGCCCCAAGGAAGGTGGATGACACAGCCACAAATCTAATCCACAGTCCCCGTCTACTCCTTAATCTGACTGACGTTCCCTCTCGCACTGAATGATACATGCCTATCTCAGGTAAGCCATTTCATAAAACAAGAAGATAAAAAACCACTGTCAAGGCAGTGTTTGCTTTTGCCGAGCTGGTGTCCCGCAGCTCCCGGGGTGTCCGAGGTGGGAGAGCTGATGGAGGCTCTCCAGGCCTTTGGGGCTGAGATCCCACTTGAATCGTAAGCCTTCTTGCTTTTGATAACACAGTGTTATTTCTCTTACTGTAGAAGAAAAAGTTTATTACCAAACAAGAGTATTTTTATGAAAGAAAAGGACAAACCTATAAATTAACTCAACCTATATCTCCGTGATACTTTCAGGCTCCAACCAAAACATAGGACTGAGAGCATGTATTTTGGAAGAAAAAGATACATTTTGTATGCTTTCTTTTCCTTTTGTAGATTCCCAGTTTATTTTCTAAGACTGCAAAGATCACTTTGTCACCAGCCCTGGGACCCGAGACCAAGGGGGTGTCTTGTGGGCAGGGAAGGGGAGGGAAGAGGCTGGCATGAGGTTCACAGTCATTCCAATGAGCTCCAAAGAGGGACCACCTGTTCTCAAAGGCATATTGGGGACAGGATGTAACTTGGCTATTTACGGTGGACCCTTTGCTCGGAGCTGACTTTTAAGTTGAGGACTTGATTATCAGTTCCAAACGTGCTAGAGAAACTAGGGTTACATACTATTAACGTTAAGAAGATAGTATCCTTTGTAATCTTATGGCAACCAATACGTGTCATCTCTTAAAACAGTGTAAATTTATTCAACTAATGATCGGAAATCTATCACTTCCATGCATAGTGGATTTAAGTGCACTTTGTTGAAGGGGAACAAATAATTGAGGAGAAAAAAAAGCCCAATACTTAAGAGTCCCAATTTTGTGTTATTTGCCAAAAAAACACCAAAAAACAAAAATAACCAACAAAGCAAATCCCCGATGGTTGATATTGTTACAATGTATATATTGTATAATATGAAAGAGAATCGATGTATCTTACTTTTTCATTATTTGCTAACCAAAGCTGTACATTTTTCATATGATCTGCAGCCTTTTGGGTATCAAATGGGACAAAACCATGGGACCTGCCACCTCCCATCAGCAATTCTAGAAATGCACTATTTCTACTGGTACTCTTGCTTTTTTCTTTTTTTCTTTTTCATTTTCTTGCTGAAATGACATGAATTGTTGAGTTTATTTTTACACAGTAAAGAGTGAAGAAAGACTGTGGTCTCCTTGGAATGTGCCTTCTTTCCCAGCTTGCGGAGGCCATCTCGATCTGCTGGGCCACCCCAAGGGACCTGCCAGGGTCCCGCGCCTGCAGAGAGGGTGCATGCCTCAGCACTCCCACAGCCCTCCAGTGGCACTGGGCCGCCGGGGGCAGGGAGGGGCCTCCCCAATTCATAGATGAAGATGACATGTAGGCAAACAGAGGTGAAGGGGTTTCTCAACTCAGCGGCGAAGCCACACTGGACTTGGGGTGCACAGTAACTCCCCATTCCTCACTTTGCCTGCAGCCCTAGTGCCTCCTGGGTGAAGAGGGTCCTACCCCCACAGCTCCACTGGGCACAGGTTCCAGGCAGCCTCGGCCGGTTCTTCCCAAACAACCCTGCCCGGTTCTCCTTTGCCCCATCCCTGCTCACCAGTCTTTGGCCAGCACCTTCCCTCTTCTGGGGCTCCCCTGGCCCTTTCCCCGCACTCAAGCATGGGAGCATCCAGGATTCACATGACAAGGGGAACAGGTAACGAGGGAACCCTGGGTACTGGGAAGAACTTGCCTTCCTGGCCCCTCATGGACCAGGCTAGACTCTGGACGGACACAGAGCCTGCAAGCTGCCCCCTTCCAAAGTAAGAGACAGCCAGGAGCCAAGAGAGCCTGCCCAGGTGACTGGTCTCCCGATGCCCGACACACACGCGCGCATCCACACAACGTCAGCAGGAGGCACCGGTCGCTCGGGCTTCCTGCTGGCGCTACACAGAGCGTGCCCGTACTCCCGGCCTCACCTACAGATGGCCGGCCCGGGGCGGTGGTGTTCTATGACCAGGTCTCGGGAGCTGGGGTTCGCTGGGGGGTGAGGGAGCCCCGGCCGGCCTGGTATGGTGTGAAGGGAGGAGCTTAGCCCTTCAGCAAGGCAGGCAGGCACTGTCCGCTGTCACTCCTGCAGGAGGAGCCTTGGTGGGGAGAGAAGCCCCGCCCAGCGGGAGGCCCTGGGCCTATGTTCTCTAGAGTCGCCCTTGCTGCGTCCACCTGTGGCCTGCACCCTCGTGGCTGGGCCCAGGGAGGCCCCCGATTCCAGCAGTTCCAGCCGGCACGCCGCCTCTCTGCCTCCGGCTCAAGCAAGTGCATAGTTACGCCCGCAGCAGCATCGCTCACACATTTCTAACATGTAGAAGAGCTCATTCAGAAACGGGGGTATTTTAACTATCCTTAGGAACAAATTACTTTCCACACTGCTCACGCCTGACCTCTGCACATCGGTGAACGACTTCAGGCGGCTACAGGGCTGAGAACAACAGCTCTGAAGGCAGCCGCGGGCCTTGCAGCTGAGCTGGCTCACCCGGGAAACTGAGTAGAGGGACACAGGCTCCGGACCTCAAGGCTGGAGAGTGTGTTGGAAGCCGTCGACCACACCAGCCCATTGGGTGCATGAAACTCCTCAGCTCACACACTTCTGGTGATGGGAAGCCACTGTCCCGTACAGACAGACTGGCCGCGTCCGGACACTGTCAGGGAGCTTTCTCCCGTAGGTCTCTTACACGTCCCGTACGATGTGCTCGGTTCCTTGTATTGAGCTTCCGCCCCCGACCGTCTGTCTGCACACGTGAAGACAGCCACCATGCCCTCTGAGTGTTTGCCGTCTCCACCCCCTGAGCCGCCCAGCCACACTGGGCAAGAGGCATCCTGCCCTGCTTGTGGCTTGTCCAGCTCTCTCCTTGAGATACCGCCCGGGATGTCTGGGTTGGGAGGGCCTTGACGGTCGTCTAGTCTAGCCGGTCCACATTTCAGATGAGGGGACTCGAGGCCCAGAGAGGCTGTGCGGACTGTTCAAAGTCACACAGTTGTCTATGCTGCAGCCAGAATCAGAGCCCAGGGTTCCCGACTCCCAGCCTGGGGCGCTCACCTGGCCTGGCTAAATGACAGTACCCTCACCTGTACTGCGGGGGCCACAGCCTCCACCTCACAGGGTTGTGCAGGTGGGATGAGCAGCCATGTGCGGGGCCTGGTGTGGAGCAGGCACACATGGAGTAGCGCCCTCCCCTTCCCTTCCTGCACCACCAAGAACCCCCCTCCACACTCCACTCAGGAGGGTGGGACACTGTCCCTCACTCCCCCACAGAACCCCCCCATGACTAGTCCCTCCTAGGGCACAAAGACCCATGAAGATCTGGGAGATGTTGCCCAGGTTGGGGGTGGTCTCCCGAAGCTGGGCTCTGGGACATCGTGGCTGCAGCCCTGGACTCCAGGGACTCCCCCCATCCTCAGGGCAACTGGTCAGTGTCAGGCATCTCAGAGGCCAGTTCTCAGCTCCCAGAAGCCCCTGAGGGCTGCTCCCTCCCACCTCAGCCCCCAGGATTCTGGGTGCTCAGCCTTCATGTCTCTCCTGCACCACCTGCTCTCCACTGACCTGCTCCAGGGCTTGTCCAACTCCCCCTTCCCCGAGTCCCCCAGGGGACAGCAGAGAAGGATGGACAAGGCCCTGGTGGGTCCGGGATGTGACTGGAAGTAGCTCACTGCAAGTATAAGATCTTTCTGAAATCCTACATTATCTCTTCAGCCATCAAACGGATGTGTGCCTCTCCCCCATTGGGTCCCTTGTCTCTCCCCATCTAGGTCCTTGCTTTAGGAAGCTAGGACATGTGTCATGTACTCAGCCCCAGGCCCCAAGGGTGGAGCAGCGCAGTTGAAGGCACCCAGCCCACTCCACCTGCTGAGTTGGCATCCTGCAAGGTGCCCAGGCTGCAGACACCTCCCCAGGAGCCCCTCTCTGTGGCCCTCCAAGGAGCACACACACTCCTTGGGCTCTGAGGAGGTAACTGCTCCCTGGAACCAGGAAACAGGAGGGAGGAGAGGTGGTGGCCATGGGGATGTTGCAGATGGTGTGGAACTCCTTGGAAGGCCTGTGGTTCTGGGCTCAGAGTTTGGCTTCTCCATAGAAACCAGAAGCCCTGGGGAAGGTGCTGGGCTGCCCTGCTGACCGCTCGGGCTCTGCGTGCTCACCCCAGGGTGCTTTTGCCTGGACCCCTATGAGACTCCTCACCCGCCCCCCACGAGGCGCTTCTCTGCAGCCACGGCTGGCGCCCACATGGGCTCAGGGCCCTGGAGGAGCTGCCCTCAGGCTGTGCAGCTCTGGGCCTCTGCAACATTCACTCTGTGCTTAACGCGCTAACATACTCTATCTTCCTGATCCCGGTGGCCACCCTGCTGACAACAGAGATTGCAGATAAGTTGCTGGGGGAGAGGCTGGGGGACCTGCAAGCTCTGGAGTGGCAGACGAGTGTGCACACCGCGGATCCCTGTCTTTCCACGCTAGCCCTCTGGTGCGGCGTGAGCGACAGGCAGACCCCCACCTCACAAAGGACCCAGGCGCAGTCAGCTCTTGGATCTCCACCCAGACCTGCTCTTCCCTCGCACGTTGCTGCTCGGTCATCCTCGGCCCGCGGCTCTCACGCACACACGTGCAATGCGCAGGTGGATCCCTGCGGCCTCAGCTTCCAGAGATGCCCCCCCACCTCCACGGGAGCAGAGGCTCCTCCTCTCCTGATGTTCAAGTAAATTGTTTCTGACAGTCTAATCCTTAAAGCCTGAAAACCATCTCATTTCCTGGCCTCCCCAAGAAGCACACCTGCACTTCCGATTCTCACACGGGCACTCAAGGAGGGTTTCCCCCAGCACGGAGAAACCAGACGGTCTCTGTGGTCCCTCTGGGCTCTCCCTGGTGCCTAGACGGGCCTCCCCAGTCCATGGGCACTACTGGAGTCCATCTGCACAGGGCACCTGCCCCGCCCCAACCTGAGCCCCGCTGTTCACACAGGACTCTGGCCCCCTGCCACCCGCCTGAGTCCCCTGGCCCACTGGCAGCCCGGCAGCCACATGACCTGCCCTCACCAGACTTTTGCACAATGTTGACTGCCCGCTGCGGGTCCCTCTTATCCCTCATCAGACCCTCAGGCCAGACCCCTGCCCTTTCCCCGACGTGAGTGCACACTCCTGGTCATCATTGGTGGGCCTGGGTCACATTTTCTTCCCAGTAGCTTCTTAGCTATCATAGATCAGGTGCACACAGGTACTCGGGGGGTGGGGGTCTGAATGTGGGAGGTCTGGGGCGCCAAGCCCCTTGCCATGCCCCGTTCACATGTCTATGAGCCAGCACCCCCCTCGGAGGACCTGGGTTTCAGCAGCCTCCTTTCCGGGAAGGGTGCAGGGCGCAGGAGCAGAGCAGAGTGCCAGGGATATGAAAAGCCACACTCTCGTCTCTACAGACACATTCGTTCATCCCTCGTGCCTCCCGAGCACCTATCGTGAGTAAGCCCCAGGGCCAGGTGGTGGTCTGCCAGCCAGAGGAGGGGCCCCCATCTCTGGCCGGTTCCCAACCAGCTCCAACAGCGGGAAGGGCGGGGCTGGGGGATGGGGTGAGTTTGCTTGTGTGCCTAGAGGACATTGCCAAGGAAGCCGTCTGTCCCCTGCTTGATTTCTGCTTCTCAATTCAGGCCAAGGTGGGGGGCCATCTGCTAAAGTGGGCATGGAGAAAACATTTTGGCTGTGCAGAAAATTGGCTTCCAAGGGGAAGCTGTGTGCTCAGCACAGAACCAACCTGCAGAGGCGCTTCAGGAGGTGCTGGGCGGGACGGTGGGGGGGTGCGGTGGCTGGAGAGGCTCCCCCGCACCCCTGCCACAGCCTTGCTGGGCTCCAGGCCCGGACCGCCCAGGGTCTCCACGGCAGCAGGCCCCTTCTTAAACATTAGGGGCCCGTGCGTGGGGAGCCACTGCCTCCTTCTTAACAGCTTTGAGATATATTCACCTGCCAAACAATTCACTTATTTCAAGCATACAATTCAATGGCTTTTGATATATTACATTACTAATTGTTTTGAATTGTAGAAAATGTAAAATTTACAATTTTAACTATCTCTAAGTGTACAATTCAGTGTCATTCATCACATTCACAGGGTTGTGTAACCATCACCTCTACTTCCAGACATTGTCCCAAGCAGAAACTCTGCCCCATCAAACCCTGACCCCCGTTCCCCACCCCCACCACTCCCGGACCCTGCTCACCTTTCAGCTGATTTCTGTCTTTATGACTTTGCCTATTTCGGTGCCACATATAAGTCGAATCAGACAATATTTGTCCTTTTCTGTCTGGCTTCTTTCCTGTAGTGTCACGTTTTCAAGGTTCAGCCACGACACAGCAGGTGTCAGAACTTCATTCCTTTTCATGGCTGAATAATGTTCTACTGCATGGAGAGACCACACTCGATCCATTCATCCATCAATGGGCACTTGGGTTGTTTCTACCTTTTGGGTATTATGAATAATGCTGCAATAAACATGGGAGTACAAGTGTCTGTTTCAGCCCTTGCTTTCAATTACTTTGGGGACATACCCAGGCGTAGAATCATATGGTAACTCCATGTTTAGCTTTTTGAGGAAATGCCAAACTTTTATAGTGGCTGCATCATTTTACATTCCTTTCAGCAATGTACCAATGTTCCAATTTCTCCACTAACATTTGTTATTTCAGCTTTTTTAAAAAAATTAGTAGCCATCCTAATGCAAGGTGGTATCTCCTTGTGGTTTTATTTGCATTTCCCTGATGATTCAAGATGCTATGTGATGATACAGTGGTTTTCATGTGCTTATTGGCCATTTGTCTACCTTCTTTTGAGAAATGTCTAGTCAAATCCTTTGCCCATTTTTAAATTGAGTATTTACTTATTTCTTGTTGAGTTGTAGGAGTTCTTTATGTATTCTGGATACTAGAACTTTATCGGGTAAGGGACGTGTGAATATTTTCTCTCATTCTCTGGGTTTTTTACTCTTTTGTATACCCTTTGATACACAAAAGTCTTAAACTTTGATGAAGTCCAACTTCCCTGTTTTTTCTTTTACTGCCCATGCTTTTGGTGTCACATCCAAGAAGCAATCTGCTTGATAAATCCTACTCACTCCCCTTTACCCCCAAATCCATCCTAGTCATTCTGTCCTGTCACCTGTTCCCTTGGCAGTGTGGCCACACCCGGTGGGTCTGCAGGGCGCCGAGGCTCCCCAGCCCAGAACCCGGTGCGGACAGGCTGCACCTGTTTCCTTCCTCCCAGAAGCCCCTTCTGGCTTGAACATTCTTGGCTCTGGGCTTTGCTCTTCAGAATTTTGGTTCTCTAAGAATCACAGAATGTTAGCACAGATGTAGAAAGAAGAAGAAAAAAAACAGAAACGCTCTTTGAAATAAGAACTGGCTGCTTTCATATACCACGGGGACAGTATAACTACTCGGCCAGCTTGAGTCCATTTAGGAAAATTCCCCCATGGCTTTTGTTGTTCTGAAAGGTGGGCTCTGCTCGGTGCCTACCCACTCCCCTGCCTCAAGGGGCCCAGGCAGGAAGGGGAGAGAGCAGAGAATTGCTTGCACAAAAGTGGAGGGGACCATGGTTTTCACAGAATTCCTGGGAGAGAGGAGGTCAGAGCTCAGGGAGCACCAACTGGGGAGAGAGAAGGTGTGATAGGGTCCAGAAAGGCAAGGAAAGAGACGTCTAGAGCCAGAGAGGAATGTGCAGCACCACCACTCGAACCATCAGAGAGTGCGGCTGCCCAGAGCAGTGGCTCGGGTACCCCACGTGAACGTGCTTTGCACGGATGAAGCAGCTGAGTGGTGTCTGGCGTAGACCACCCATGAGCAGGCAGCAGAAGCAAGAAACGTGCAGGGAGATGACGAGGAAAAGTGTGCAAATCCTCTTGGGACACTCGGTTTTCCATTGTATATGGATGGGGGCTGTACTGGGTTGAACAGAATCCCCCCAGAATTCACATCCACCCAGAGCCTGTAATTTGACCTTGCATGCAGACACAATCCAGTTGAGATGCAGTCCCACTGGAGTAGGGTGGGCCCGGATCCAGTGCCTGAGGCCCTTGTAAGGGGGATACCTGGCCAAAGATGCAGACATGCAGGGAGACGCCATGTGAAGGTGGAGGCAGAGAGAGGGCTCATGTGTCTACAAACCAAGGGACTAAGGATTGTTGGCAGCCACAAGAAACCAAGAGGCAGACATGGAATCGAGCCTCCACAAGGAACCAACCCTGCCGAAACCTTGATTTCAAACTTCTTGGCCTCCAGAACCATGAAAGGACACATTTCTATTATTTTAAGCCCCCTAGTCTGTGTTATCTTACTATGGCAACAAAAAACAAATAAAGGGGCCGAACGAATAAAGGGTCTTTCATTTTAACTGCAAAGGAAAGGGAGGCCCCTAACGCTGGAGGACTGGGACACCAGGAGGCTGACGCTGCTGGTGGAGTCTCTGCCCTCAGTGGCCCCAGAAAAAAGCCAGACCCACTTTGGGCAGAGTGGAAAGTAGCTCTGAACTCCAGCTTTTCTGCTCTTTCCAGCTCAGTGGTGACCAGCTGTCCCTTGGCATCTGGCAGTGGACAGGGGAGGCTGAGATGCCGGGTCAAAGCCCCATGTACTATGCACGTCTGCCCGCAGCCACCTTTGGTCTCTACAGCAGAGATAGCTGGCTGAGTGGGGTCACTGACCAGAGGAAAGGCCCAAGTGCTTGGGAAGGGCAAGAGCCACACGCAGGAACCAGGCCCTTCCACCAGCACTGCAGGGCACCGGTGTGCGGCCTAGCCCCCTTATGGTGGGATTTGGTGGTGACGTGGGGAGAAGCCCACGGGATGAGCAGGGGTCAGATGGACGTAGGATCCAGCAAGTGGAAGGGAAGGTGGTAAGAGCCATGATGAGTAACAAGGGACAGAGAGGCGGGGCAGGGAAGGAGGCCAGGGCTCGGCCATGTGGGTCGCTGGGCAGAGGCACCGGCCCCTCGGGAGGGACAGCCTGAAGGGGCGTCTGCTCAGCCACAAAAGGAAGCTGCATGGCAGGGAGGGCGCAGCAGGTGAAATGCAGGGCCACTGGGGTCAGGTCACACTGGGCCTTGGACAAGAGGAAAGCGACTGGCCTTGGTGTTCCTATGCGGGTCAACCGGCGAGTTTATGGCTGAACAATGTCACCCAACACCACACCATCACACAAGGGTCTCTGTGGCCTGAATGCACTGAGTCAAACACAAGAACATTCTGCAGTCGGGTCTGAGCACAGGGAACACACACACTGTCCAGTACTTCTCAGTGAGCACATGTTCCATTTCCCTACTTTCTAGATAAAAATGAGTAAAGAAACAATAATGGAGGAACCGCCTCTGCTTCCCCACAGTCTCTGGTCCAGCCCTTGACACTCCCACCCCCTGCCAGGTCCCCCTGTACCACTCAAGCCTCGTGGGTCCTTGCTGATACCTGCACGGGTGCAGCCCAGGACTGGTCTCCCTGGCTTCAGGCCACTACAGGTGCGTTCCCGGGAGTCTTTGCACGGAAGATCGCTGAGACCTCCTACACCATGGAAAGAATGTCGGGTGTTAGAATGATATGGGAAACCAGTGGATGGCATTAAACAGAGAAGTATATAGTGATTTTCAAAAGAAATACCCTGGGAGGCTGGTCAGGAGGCTCTGTTTGGGAGTGCAGGTGATGGCAGGTGGGGTGGGCTGGGGGCTCCTTCTGCCCTGCAGGGCAGCCAAGGAGTGAAGGTGAGAACGTGTGATGGCCTCTGTGTCCCAGGACTGTTTCTAAGGGGCTTCTGAGGTAGGAATGTGGCTGCACTGAGCTGGAGAGGGCTGTTTGTGTCACTCTCAGGCAGCAGGAGAGGAAGCATCTAACTGGAGGAATGCAGAGGTGCCCAGCCCCACTGCCAACCTGACCCTGCCCAAGCACAGTGGCCATCACGAGGAGGGCATCCTGTAAGACAGAGCTTACGGAGAAGAGAAAATCCACGTGGACCTGCAGGTACTTAGGAGCTAGGACGTGTGGGGTCTGTACCTTATTCTGAACCGTCCGATGTGGCAGCAGCCCAAAGGACTGTCTGGACGGATGGTAAGGTCATTCCCATGACCCCGGAGAGGGGGGTCAGAGGGACTGCATATGCTCAGCCAAGAGATGAGGGGCCAGGTGGGAAGCTCAGAGGCACAGGGTGTACCCACTCCCCTGCCCCAGCACATACACACACAGATTCCAACGTCTGCCCAGGAGGGTGGGCTAGCCAGGGGCTTCCTCCAGAATAGGGTGAAACCATGTTGGTGGCGGGGGGGTTCACCCTTTAGTTCCCAGTCCCCAGGGAGGGCAGATGCAGTGTGGCTTTGGCCCCCTTTCTGCCTCTGCACTGCTTTCCCCTGGGCCCTCCTGCAGCTGGAGGGTGGAGCGCTCTGTGGCGCCTGCCTGGTTCAGTCTCCACCGCTCACCTGGACTGGTGGGCACCTCAAGCCTCACCCTGACCTTGTCCCCCACGCCAACACTCCTGCCCCACCAGGCGGCAAGCACTTGGGACCACAGAGCTACGGAGCATGGAGGGTTCATGTACCCCGGACACCCTCCACTCGGGAGGGTGCAGTTCTGGGAACCAGAGGCCACACCAGTGTCACCGCAGGTCACACACTGGCTGCCCTGGGGTCCTGCTGCAGCTATCTGGGTGTTAGGGGAGAGGAAACTGTCACGTGAGGACCGCCATTCCCACAGATACATAAGGGTCCCCGGGGCCCTTGGGCATATCCATAAATGTTACTCGAAAACACAATATAAATGCACTGGGGGAAAAAAGACTGGAAGAAAATATTCTGAGATGTTAACAGTCGTTACGTCTTGTGGATTTTAAACTTCCACGTGTTTTCCAGATTTTTTACATGGAACACGTGTTAGTTATATAATTTAATTTTTATTTATTTCTTTTTAAACAAAATCCTCCAGCCAACTGTGCTCTTCCCCAATTGCAGTAACTTTCCTTTGAGTCAGATTTCTGGGCGAACCCCAGGGAGGAAGAAATGACTCCCTCTCCAGCTGACAGTACTTTACACACAGTCGCATCACTGCTTCTTAGACGGCCGAGGGCGCAGGGCGGCTCTGCGGAGGCCCCACCAGGGCTGGGGGCACGGCGGCCCGTGCTCGGGGCGCTGGCGCCCCTCTCCCACCTCGGGGCTGGGCCCAGGCCGGGGCCCGGTAGCCGGGCTGCCCCCCACGCCGGCCCACTGACCCCGGGCCGCCCCATCTCCAGACGCCCCGTCCTCGCCCTCCACTACCTCGAGGGGGAGGCGGCGGAGGGGCCCCCGCTGAACTCCGGTATCCAGGCCGCGCCCTCCAGGGACCGCTGTGGGACCTCGGGCCCGGGCGGGCAGGGAGGTGAGGCCCGGGGCCAGGAGCCCGCGGAGGCGCGGCCCAGGGCGGCGAGCACGGCAGGAGGGCCCGGCAGAGGCGGCGGGCAAAGTGCTTTGAAGAAGCCAAAGGGGGCCGACCGGGCCTCCCACGACGGGGAACCCCGGCCTCGCCGCCAGGAGGCCTGCGGGCTCCGGGGCAAGGCCCCCTGGCGCAGCGGGTTGTCACGGTAACGCGCTCGGGCGCGCAGCGATTGGTGGAGCGCGGAGGGCGGGCCTCGCGAGAGCTCGCCTCGCGGCTTCCGGCGGGCGTGCGCCGCGGGCCGAAGGGCGGGGATCCCGGCCCGGCGGCGGCGCCCCGCGTGCTCGCACGGCCTCGCCTTCGCACGTGCGCCGGCGCCCCCATCTCCCGGCTCGGGCGCCCTGGGAGCCCAGATCACTGCCCTGGTCTCCGGCCGGGCCCCCACGCAGCAGCCGGGGCTTCGTATCAGTGCTGCCCTCTCTCCGCGCTTCCCCGAGACCGAAGGGCCCCTCCGCCGGCCCGCCCTTCCGCCACGCCACGCTGTCGAGCCCGCCAGGCCTCGCTCCGTCCTGCCCCAGGCCCTTTGCCCCTGCTGCCGGGAGCTTCCCTCCCCGGAAGCCCGCTGGATTCCCTTCGGGCGTTGCTCGGGCGTCACCTCGGAGAGGCCGCCGTCCCGTGGCCGTCACACCCCTCCCCCACTCCTCCCGTTTCCCTCCGCCAGTCTCATCACCGGGCGGCACAGCCCATCCCGTAACGGTGGAAGATGCTTATTGTACGAAGGTACCAGTTCTCACACGTTGACGATCACCCTTTTACAAACGAAGCAGGCTCAGAAAGGGCAGCCGCAGGACCTAGATCGCGCCACTAGTACATAGCGGATTTGTGGCCGAGAAGCCTGTGTTCTTCCCGGGGCATGATGCTGCTTCTCAGGCAGGAAGCCAGACACGCATCCAGGGCTGCCTGGAATTGCATCCAAACATCCGGATAACTGGCTTCTCTGTGGGCATGGGCCCTGAGAGAGGAGCTCTTTGCAGGGTGTGTGGCTTGGGCAAGCCAGGGCAGCCATATGCTGGCAGCCTCGTGGGGAGCAGGGCACAGGCCACCCCAGGAGCCAGATGCTCCTGGGCCAATCTGTGGCTCAAAGGTATTTCCTTCAGGAGATGGCGCCACCTGGCCCTTCTCCTTCCTCCCTCCTGCACCTGCCTCCCTCCCATCTCCGAAGTCAAGGGTTCCAGGGCTGTGTCAGCAAGGGGCCGGGCTGCACTGTCCTTCTGTCACAGGACACTGTGGCCCGGAATGGACATCTGGTCTGCCTCAACCCCCACAGCCAAGGCATCTGTGGTCCCGTGCAACTCAGCGCAAGGAAAGCCAGGACCAGGGAGAGGCCATGCTCCACTGTGAGCTTGCCAAGTGGCAGAGCGGGGCCCTCCTGGCATCACCCTGGCCACTGAGGGTGACCCCCGAGGGCCCTACCATGCCAGAGCTCCCTCTGCCAGGTCGGGTCTGCTCAGCTGAGGGACAGAGGGTGGGGCATGGGCCGTGACTGATGATGCCAGACCCGGGGATCTGGAACCTGCAAATGGGAGGGGGAGGAGGGTAGTCCCCACCCCTTGCCCACAGTGTTCCCTCCTGGCTGGCAGAGGCATTCCTGCTCTGCAGAAGTCAGATACACAGACTTTTCTGGCCAAGGAAAAAACCTAGAGGCTGCTTCCTTCTGCAAATGGAAAAAGTGGGGTTCTGAGGGGCGGAGGGTCTGGGCTCCGTAGGCTTTGCCTTCTGCTCATCAGCCCCTTTTCAAGAGGAGCTGGAGGTTAGGAAATGAGTGCCATTTTCAAGTTGTCCTGAGTGAGCTGGTTCCCTGGGTCCCTGGCCCCTGCTGGCCCAGCCCAGAGCAGGACACCAGGCAGTGCCCACACTTGCCATGAGAGGTAAAAGCGAGGCTGAGGAGGGGGGGGACCCGGGTCAAAGGCAACCATCCTGCCAGAATCAAGAAGTTTTGAGGCCCCAGCTGGGCCCAGAGTCGGGAAGGAAGCCACCAAGGGCAGTGTGGCCATGTGGGCCGACACTGTGCTGCCTGCCCTGCCCTGTCCGTGAGGTCGCACTGTGCCACCTGGGCCCTGAAGAAACAGCACGTCTTCGGCCTCCACGTGGGGCTTCAGATGAAGTCATCAGTGACCCCTCCTTCTTCCCAGCCTCTTCCTGACCCTCTGAGCACCATTCCAGAGGCAGAGGGGCACCCCCTTCACCAGCACGGTCACCACGCCATCATGACGTGTCGTTAGCCCCCTTCAAGAACCAGATAGCCTGGCCGGGGGCAGGAGGGCGCCAGCTGTGCTGGGTAACTGACATGGAATGACAGCCGAGGGCATGGGAGAGGTGCAGAGGTCTCCAGGTGCTAGAGGAGGCGCCATGGAGGAAGGGTCTGGTCCCTGGATGGGGAGAAGGGTCCCCGGATGGGGAGAAGGCATCTGGGCCTTGGGGTCATCCAGAACAAGCTGCCCTGGAAAGGAGGGTCTGTCTGGAAGCCAGAGTGCACTTCAGGGCTGGCGGGAAAGGGTGCATTTGGGGGCCATAGCTGGTGGGCCCCGGGGGCATCGGCACTTGTGAGCCATGGGGAAGTGTGCATGGCTTTGAGCCCCAGGCTCATGGGCGCAGAGTGGAGCTCGGGGAAGCAGCTTTTCAGCAAGTGCTTTAGAGCTTTCTTGGAAGCAGGATGAGTATAAATTATAAATAAACAAACGAGAGCTCTGCAGCAGGGCGTGGGCCGGCGGGAAGAGGGAAGCAACACGGCAGAGAGCCACTTAGACGCTAGCGTCCCCCTGCCCCTTGACTCTCTCCCTGGCTGGCCCTGCCCTGCCCCTGGCGCCCAGGGGCCTCCTGCTATCGCCTGGCTCCAGGTCTCCCAGGGGCTGACCTTTGCCAGGCTGCAGGGGGAGGCCAGGGCGGACCCCCATGCTGGGGAGCGGGAAGGCCTGCCTGGCTCACACCAATCAAGAGGTGCAGGCCTGAGTTTCCCATGGACAGAAACAGGCCCTGTGGACACTCATCCGTGTGGGAGGTGTCTTACCAAATGTTTGAAGGGAAAAAAATCCCATTTTCTTAGCTTTTTTTTTCCATTCTATTTTTTGATTATTTTTCTAGATGACTTCATTTCTAAGAAGGGTGTAGGGAGAGAAGGAGGGCAGAGGGAGGGAGGAAGGACATGGGCCCCAAGGGGGGCCGGGAGGGTGGGGAGCAGGGGGGAGTGGGGAGTGTGGGGTCTGGGGTTCCAGGGAAGGGCCGAGGCCTGCAGCCCCAGGGACCTAGGGGCCCGGCTTGTCCTGAGCACAGGGGCCTGCAGCCCGGGCTATGAGCACCCCACTCCTGATGGCACACGGATCCCTTGGTGAGCTCCACTCCCACAGGGCCCTGGGCGGAGGTCAGCTCTCATCCAGCCGGCTTAGCAGGGAAGGGCTGCCTGGCAGCTTCTCTCTAGGGCACAACTACCTGCCCCGTGGACGAGGTGAGGTCTCCTAACCCCACGTACCACTTGGGAGCTACAAAACCCACTCTGGTCAGCTTGCTGGAAAAGGAAGTCACTGCGGGATATTAGGAAGCTCAGCCTTCTGGAGAGACGTGGAGGTGCTTGTGGCCACACCCCCGGAAGCAACACCCCAACCACACGCTCCGCGCTGGACACAGACCCCGCGGCCCGAGCCGCTGCCCTGGAATTCAGTGCCCTCTGCCACAGTGTTGCTAGAAAAGGAAATCCGGGGCATTTGCTTTCCGGTGTTGCTCACGTCCGAGTCAGTCTGCTCAGGCGCTTCTGGCTGGCGGAGCGCAGGCCACCTGGGCCCAGGGAACACAAGGTCTGACTTCCGCCTTAAGAAGGTGGGACTGTGTAAGGCAGGAAGCCCACTCCCACCGGTGAGGCAGCGGCCACCCAGAATTCCCTCGGCCCACAGTGGGCTTTTCCGGCCCAAGTTCCCAGCAGCTGCCCAGCTCTGAGGCACAACGGCCGCAGGCCTTTCTCCCAGCCCCTGGTGGCTGCCGGCCGTCCCCAGCATTCCTTGGGTGGTGGGCGCACCACTGCAACCTGCCTCCAGCTTCAGGTGGCTGGCTCGAGGCCAAGGCCCAAATCTCCCTCCACCTTTCTTGATATCCACTTGATATCCACTTGATATTGGATTTAGGGCCCACCCTAATCTAGGACGATCTCATCTCAAGATCCTTAACTTGGTTACATCTACAAAGGCTCTTATTCCAAATATGGTCATGTTCTGAGGTTCTTTGTGGACACATTTTGGTGGCGGGAACCACCATTTGGTCTACTCTTAGGTGCATGAGAAATGGGCACAGAGCAGAAGGCCAAGGGCGGGAGTGGGGAAAGAGGAAAGGCAGGGGGTGGCAGGTGGGAAGGACTGTTCGGGCAGGAGAAGCCCGCTGCCCCCAGCTTGGCATCTGTGGGTGTGGCACTATCTGGTACTAGTTACTTAGACCCCAGCTTGTGGCCGCTGAGAAGGGCTTTCTTGCTACCTCTGGTCTCCCCACCATCTTTTCCCCAAGACCAGGGTGTCCCAATTTCAGGTGCCAGGAGTACCCCATCTTCTCAAGGGCCCCAAGGAAGCCCTGGGCTCTGAGTCCAGGGAGCAGGAGGGGCTGCCTGCGCAGGTCAGCGTCTTAGATTTCCTGAGCACATGGAGAGGGCGGGTCCCACAGTCCCTTGTCCCTCAACTCCCCATGGCCCAAGGCTCTGCCTCTCCTCCCCAGTCCTCCCCGTCAGAGCTGAGGCTGTTTCTTCCGCAGGGCTCGTTCCCATTCCTGGCAGCATGTGCTCTCAGGGATAGGGAGCCCAGGAGGTGCATGGATCAGACTCAGAATTTAGAAACGTTTCTCCTACATTGTCAGACCTCAGTACTGCCTGCAAAGGAGACGCTAATCCCATTTTAGACAAGGGAGACTGAGGCCCCATGAGGCTGAATGGGTTGCCTGTGTTCCCACAGACAAACCTGACACTTGAAACCAAAGTCCAGCTCCAGCTTTTAACACTCTTCCCACCAACTCCCTCACACTGGATCCTATCGTGTCCACCTCAGGCTTGAATCCTCCTAGGGACAGGGAACTCACCCCCTAACAAAACAGCAAATTGCATTGACAGTCCCAAGTGTCAGGGAAGCATCCTTCATTGAGGGAAAGTCCTTCCCCCGTGGAACTTGGCCTCCCAGACTGGGTGATGGGCAGT